AATTATTGTATGACAAATTTTGTATTTTACCATTAAATATACCTTGTATGTGTAAGTAATAATGTATTTCATTAATTGCATCAATGTTATGCATCAATTATTACATTAGAAATTAAGTCTCGAACAATTAAAAATTTTATTATTTATTACAACATATTAATCTTGCATTATTGGACATGTATAAAATATGTATAGCATATTTGAAAAAACACTTACTAAATTCTGTCTTTTTAAGATACACGCAATCCAGCAGCCAACTCTCCTTTTTCTTTCTTCATTTTCAGGTTGAATAGGTAAATCAGTGATTATCTCTTCCCGATTATAAATATCAGCTAAGAAGAAAAAAAATCAATCAATACAAAAGTCAGTGTTTTGGAAAAAAAGTTAGTTCAAATAAAAAATTGTAAGGAAAATACCCATTGAAATCTGATAAAACAAAATTAAACTAAAAAATTAATTAGAGAATTTAGATGACAATTATAAGGATCTTCAATAATATGCTTCTGCAATACATAATTATAATTTACCATCAGTTACATTATTTTTATTCTTGCAAAATTCAATGTCATCCTCAATAGTTTCTATTAAATTTTTGAATTTTTTTAATTCTCTCGAGCTAGATGGCTGAAACTTATAAAATATTTGTTTCATTTATTTTATATAATTTTTAATACATATTATTATAGATATTGTATTTCTTTGTAGTTTATTGAAATAGTTAAAGTAGCTTATTAACAGAATACTTACAGTAATTGACAGAATACTTACAGCAATTATTAAAATATAGGTGTAAAGCATGAGACTTTTCATTTTGTGCAGATGATATCTTCACTGCAATAAGCACAATTATTCAAAATAACTGTAGTTACATCGTATATATACTGATTCACTCTTCGACGGATAAAATACATAGGTCAAAAGAAATAAGATTATAGATCGTATACACATCAATGATATAATATTAATAGTGACAATTTGTTATACTGACAATGTTTTAATACTATCCTACATTGATAAGTATAAAAAATTAAATTAAGTATATAAAAGACTGAACGAATATTGAGTATAAAAGATTAAATCAACGATAAAAATCTAAAACACATAACATCTTATTTTACAGAACTTTTTTTGAGAACATTTTATATACGCGTTGAAGCCTTCCAGTATCGTATTTGTATTATCAGTAATACAAAAAAATGTGTAGATTAGAATTTCAAGATTATAAATCAAACTAAACTATAAACTAAAGAACATACGTAAAAAAGAAAATATAATGGTAAATAATGAATACAAACTTTTATTATTGCAAATGTAGGTTGCTAAAATATAAATTTCGCATATAGTTTTCTCATACATTTGCAATTGTCTTATATAAATATTAAGATTAAAAATAATCATTTATGTTAAATACATTACTTTAAATACGAAGCGTCTACGGTTTGAATGTTAAGATATTGAATTATTATATATATTCATATAAATGAATTAATTTCAGAAATGATAATTGCGTGCCAATATAGTTGTCGGACTTTCAACGCAAATTTAATCTTAAAAAGCTATAATAAACTTATTGCAAAAAATATTGCCTCGGCCGGGAATCGAACCCGGATCTCTTGCATTAAATTTGAGAAATTTGGGGGGATTATTAATATTTCAGATTGATTGCGTTGAAAGTCCGACAACCATATCGGTACGCAATTATCATTTCTGAAATTAATTCATTTATATGAATATATACGTAATAATTCAACATCTTAATTAGACCGTAGTGGCGCTCATTACTTGATAATTACTTTTTCATTATTTATGTTAAGTAATCAAAGGTTGTGTTTATTTCTGTTGTAAATTCTAGAATATTTTCAGTTTTTCATCGATTAATATCGCAAATCAAAAATAATTATAAGCTTACATATAAATAGAAATCTACTAATATAAAAATGCATTATAAATTTCTGCTTGAAATTTCTGCTTGAAACTTTTAAATATAATTATACTATTATAATAAAAACGATATTTAATTAATATTTTTTTATTGTTTACAATGATATACATTATAAATTTAAGTTTATACGTACATACTCACAGCAGAAATATTCTGAATATATTATACAAATATCCTACAGATGTAATATCATTAAGCTTGTGATATAATTTGGATAGTATCGAAACATATACAGCACGCACGTATTTTAATAGAAAATATAGTATGAGGACTACAATACATAATTGCAGAAACGGTACGCAATTATGCGAATTTCATAGTCAGGGCAGACAAATACATAAGAAATATTTTGTTAATTTTTTGCTTTTGTAAATATTGTTAAATTATCGTTATAAACAATTTAAAAAATACTTTAAGTCTGAATTTTGTATTTTTAAACAATGTAATCTAAGAAAGTCTTATTATTGTACTAATTGAAAAACTCCAAAATTATAATATAAGAGAAGTGGAAGGCATGGATCATTCGAGCAATGCAAATGAAATTTAAAAAATTAGAATCAATCTTGGCAATCGTCACAAAAGTAGCTACCAAATTCTCTATATATAATGCAGCCTTCGTGGGCCCATTTGGTGCATTGGATCAATCATAAATAAATCATCATACTGCATTGTGGCAAAAAATAAATAAAAATAAGATGTAAACACGTGTCTTTCGTACACTCGAAAGATGTGCCTCCGTATTCCCAGTATTTTCATTATAATCATATATCGAGTAAGAAGATGGATCATCTGCTTTGCCTCCACTCGCTTTGCCCAAAGGACAACCTACCTGTGAATTGGCGTGAATTTGGAAAGGTTAGAATAAGTTGAAGCATCAAGTAAAAAAATTTTAATCTCGAATACACGTTTAAAGACAGAATTCTTATAAAAAATCATTCACATTGGTTAAGAAATAATTACAAATAATAATAATTAAACTGCATACCTAAGAAAAAATCGCAAGAAAACACTGAATTTTCTATATATCTCTATTAAACACAAACGAACGCAATCATATATCGTTTCATACTTTCATAGCGTCGCTGATCGGTCATTTCCTTCAACTGCTAGAAACTCATAGCACAATCTCAGATAGATAAGCGAAAAAGTATTCGCTTTACCCAGGGCATTTTACCCGAGCTTTTCCACGTATTCATATATTTTTGTGTGTGTGTGTGTGTGTGTGTGTGTGTGTGTGTGTGTGTGTGTGTGTATACCTGTGTACCTGTGTATTGAAAATTACACAGATGGAAACACGAATATATTAACACATTGAATGCCGTGGAGATCACCAGTAACCCAGTTTGTCAGTAACGGTATAGGGGCACCGATGACCAGCGATGTCAAGACTAATAGAAATATATTATTCAAATAAATGTTAATATTTCTAAATTTTTCAATATTACTAATATTATTTTATTTATTATTACAATAATGTGAAGAAATTAACACAGCAAGAACATATAAAAATAATAACAGAAATAATATTTTAACACAATATGTATCGCATGATAGCAGATTCATATTGGTGCCTTAGGCAAGTCATGTAATATCAGCGTAACATTCAATTATTAATTATATATATATATATATACGTATCTGGAGACACTGCATTTAGATATATGTGAAAAAGAGAGAACAATTCCCGGGAAAAAAAATGTTTTACATATAATTATATAAAATTATATATGATTTTATGTATTTCTATATAAATGGACATATATACATATAAATAGAC